TCATGCAGATTTACTTTGGTTCATTAATGATAAAATCGAAAAAATTTGGAATATTAGAAATTGAATTAATGAGTAAAATTATATGAAAAAATCATATTAAATTTTTAATAAATCATATGAGACTAAAGCATTTCATATTAAATATATTTTATTTCAGCAATAAATGAATCACTTAAGGAAGTTGGCAGTCATGCAACATTTATTTTTATTTCTCCTCCGGCTTTAATTTTGTTTTTTTCAAAAGCGCTCACTATTTGTGGTTTGAATTTCTCCACTGGCTTGTCGAACCAGATGAAATAGCGAGACGCCATTCGGTTCGCCATTCGGATTTTTGAAATGCAAATTCCATTCCTATTATTTTTCTTGTCATCGACCATTGAGCTAATTCGTAGATAGAGAAACGAATGGGTCAGTAATGGAATCATTCTGATTCCATTGTTAATGATAGGCTTACTCTTGAAAAGGCATCACCAGAATCCAACCTATTATTATTGTTTTATTGGCCTTATAATATTTTAGTTGAAATAATCACCTTTATCAAATTCATGAAAATAAAGTGACTTTCATGAAACTTGTGAATGATGAACAATGTAATATTTCCAGTCTTTGCACTGGCAAAAGAATTTTTTTCCAATATCATTTAAAAGCATAATTTAACTGTAAAAATTGGTTTCGTTTTAATTTCTTCGAAGTTGACTAAATTCATTGAATTAAGAAATGGTTAACTTACTTTCCAATACCCATTAGTACGAGAAAAAATTTTTGGCACGGATGGTAGCAAGTGAATCACAAGCTCCACTTAGATGTTAGGTTTGTTTATTCCTACTGACAGCAGAGACCGAAGGCGATAATCTACTCCAAGAACCACTCAAAAACTTATCCTTATTTAAAATTTCAAGTTAAAAACAATTTATATTTCTGTTTTTATTTTTTTGTTGGTTGGAAATTTGGTTGAAATCATTTTTCATTATAGTTGAACAAATTGGTTTTTTACATGAAATGGAGAAAACAGATTATTCTGTCATAATTCTCGAATAACTTACAATAATCCATAATCCCTATCGACTAATATTTAGTTTTAATCAAAATTGTTTCAACCGTACAATATTTTAATATTTATTAGTGCTATATTTTGCAGATTTTCTTAAAATTATTTATTGAAATTAGAAAAATTAATGAAAAATAAAAATTAAGGAATAATTTCGAATTTCCATTCATCATTCAGTTCGTTAATCATTTTTTATTGTAACAGCTTTTTATTCGTTCGCCTTTCATGATTATAATTATGATCAAAGGACATTTATTTTATGTATTTTCTATTTGTATGTAATAGTAGCTGAAGAACTATTTTTTATAATATTTACTTATAAAATGTAGGAAGTGGAAAGGGGGGGGGGGGAGAGATTGGGAGAGGAAAGAAGAATGGGGGAAAGAAACTATGGTTTCATTAGTAAACATTTCAGAACACGCTTCTTTTTCATGATTTTCTATACAAAAAAAACTGAATCGCTTTTATTTATTTTTATATTATAGCAATACGCCCGTAATTTTTCGATAATTAAAAAATTTTTTTTATATTAACCATTGTACCTTTCTCGATGGATCATTCAGTACCATTTAGAATCCCCTTTTAATGACAAATTTATTCCCGCCAAGAGACAAACGAAACTATGATGCTTATTTGAATACCACCAGCACCATTGTGTTCTAATTAGATTATAATTATGGATTTCTTTCCTCAATAAAATATAATCAACAATAAATATTGATAAGTAAATTGATAGACCGATAAATTGGGCTTTCTGGTGCTTAAAATCGAAAAAATTCCAAATTATTTTCCGATTATTTTTTAAAATTTATCATTTTTATGAATTTTAACAAAAATTCACGAAAATATTTTCGTTTGCGATTGTCAAATTTTCTTATTTCGAGAAAAAAAGAAAAATTGACGTATTTAAATCATTTAAAATGAAAGAATTTAATGATTAATTAGGAATCGTCAAGAAAATTTCACTTGTTTCTTACAATTATTAAATATTATTTTTTCCATTTTAAGAAAATTTAAAATTACTAAAATTTACTAAAATTTCAAATTTATATATAAATCGGTATAAATATAAAATATAATGAAATATAAATATAAATATAAATATAAATATATATATATATATATATACAAATAAAATAATATAATAAATAAATTTTAAATTTTAATAATTAATAAATTTAATAGAAATAAATATATTAAATAATGTAAACTCAATAGAGACGAGATGATTCAGTGGATTATTCCTCTGATTTTGGTGCGCTGATATTGAGTTTCTACTATCAGTAGGAGTAAATATGTTTTTCAAAGATTCGCATGACGCTGGAGGTTTATCTATACACTTTCTGGCTGGTCCAACAAGACAATGGAGCGAGCATAATCAGAAATAAAGAGTCTACTTAGAAAAATATATAAATAAATAAAATAAATATATAAATTAACATCCATCATGGCCAATATTAAATGCACTACCAGTGATATCAGTCACTGTTTTCCCACGATGATTAATAGATTTCGAAAAGATTTTTTAAGGTGAACTCAAAGTGAGAAAATTATCAATAAATCATCTGATAATTTGTGATAATTGATTTGATATTTTGAATTAATAAAGCTCCTTTTTAAAAATAAATGTTATGGAAATCTCTAGAAAAGACAAGTTCAAAAAAAGTTTACTTAAAAAAAAAATATTTCTTGTTTTTTAATAAATCTTTTCGATTATCAAATGATTTATTATCAACTACAATATTCGTTATCACCGTTTCAACTTTTCATGTAAGGCGATGCCAGTCTTTCGTATATATGTAAATATATTCGTCTGAAAATATAGAAAAGCTATAATGAATTTAAAAAATCTTCTTCATAAACTTCTTCGGCATTTCATCCATTGATAGCACTCTGCTGGTACCACAATTCCTTTAAGGCACCTTAGGACGTCTTAATAAAATTGTTAACAAATTGCCTAAGGTAAAAATAGTAAGATTATGACTCTAATTTAGATTGGATTAAAGTCGAGTGAAAATTTTTTCATTTCACTTTGGTATCATTGACCATTTCTTTATATTATTTATCAGTTATCACCTCACCAATTTACTGTCAAGCACGCTCTTTGTGAACTGTGCCTTAATTGCTTGCAAATCATTCCAAAATGCAATATTGTTTGCGAATAACTTTGCAGTAAATCTCGCCAATTCATTTGATTATTTCATGAAAAATTTGTGAAAAACGATTATTAATTAATTCATTGATGAACTAAAAATCGTTAAAGCGTTTTATGTCACAAATAAATCGAAAATCAACTAAAAACGGAATTTTATTAGTTCAAAAATTTCGACAACTTTTTTTAACTTTTAACTTTTGTCGTAGATTTTATTTATAGAAAGTTTCATTCGCTTTTCGCTTTTGATATAGTTCATTTTGATATTTTATTCAAATCATCAAACGTCCATTGAGAATTGTGCATGAAATATGCATGGTTAAGAGATTATCCTCTCTTATTCAAACTCGTATATAGCTTGTATAGCCGAAATGCTGAATGCTTAAATTATGTTTTAGATCGGTTCGCTTGTACTTATTTTTGACATTTGTAGGCTTTTTTCGTTGAATCGTCAAAGGTTGCTATTTGTAGTTAATCCCATTTGTCCCACTGGCAAAGTTGATCTATCTGTGCTCATTGAATTATTATTAAAATATTTGAAATTTGATGAAATATAAATAATTTGACATAAAAAACCTAATCGAGTATTCAGCAATGAAATATTCGAATATATATTGGAATAACGCAAAGCTGAAGCTCAACATCAAATTTTAATTGTATTTAATAGCATTTAATTTTAAAATAGAGAATATAAAAATTTTTTCTTTGAAATAATATTGTTGCTTTTTTAAAAAAAAAACAAATATTAGCAAGAAATACTTTTCATTTATGAATCATTTAAGATGCTTTTCAATAATCAAATCAGACGTACCAGTTCTGTTTATTTATTTATTTATTAATCGAGCATAAGTTTTACGATAATCAGCATTTTTTTTGTATAATTATGGTTTTTTATTTCATGAAAATTTAAGCACTTTTTTATTTCTCATTATCATTGTCTTATCATTATCTTTGGTTAATGATTATTTATATTATAGAATATAATTTTTAAAAATTTATTTAATTTCTTTGATTATTTAATAATTTAATAGTACTGCTGATTATCACTATTAAGATTATAAATTTTTCAATAAATCGCAATAAACGCTGAGGATCTTTTCTTTTCGCGAAAGTTGAAAATTGTTTCTGCGATTAACTATTTTGGGAACCTCAAATTTGTTGAAAATTTACGTTTATCACCACAAATTTACCGAAAACTTATATTTATCATAATCATAATCAATAAACAAAGTTATCTGTGTTTTTTTATACGAAAAATTGCAAGATTGAAAAAATTGAGAAATCTTTCTCCAACGTTACTAAAAACGACATAGTTAATCATTAAGTCAATTAAAATATTAAGTAATATTTTTTATAAGGTTTGTAGAGAATATACCACAGAAACCTATCCCTATACATTTATGTAAGCAAAGAAATTTATATGTTGAATATACAATACAATGCGAAGAAACGATAAAGTCAAGCCGGAAGAAAAAGTTACGTAAATTCGTACTTATATTATAAATATATGGATAAATTTTGAATTAAACCTAATTTTTGAATAAACAAATATTTTGAAAATTTTATGACAATAATATTTTTCAAATCTTTTTTATATCTCATAAATTGTCTCATTTAAAAATAACTTTTTAAATAATAAAAAATATTTTAATGATTATAAACGATATAATAAAATTGTAAATAATAAAAATAAAAAAATTGTATGAGTTTTCTTCGATAGTAATAAGGAAATTTAATTTAAAAGAAATAAAACTAATGTTATTATTATTATTATTCATTGTATTATAAATACGATTTCAGCTAAGTATTCCAACAATGAAAATGGACAGAGTTTGGTTTGATCCGAGCGTTGGAAATTCTCATGGACAATCAAATGTTGATGAGAGGCGATGGAAGGATTTGTTGATTAATTATAGATCAACAAAAAAACTTCGGTTTCCACGAATTTGTACTTTTAAATTTTTGATTTTATGTGTTTAAGATTAAAAGATTAAACATAACCTATTAGGAATATCTAAAAAATTAAGTTAAATTAAAAGGTTAAATTAAAAAAGATAATTGATAATTGATAAGCTTCTCTGAAACACAGAATAATTCAAATATTATCCACTAAGTACTTAATCATTCTATTTTTATTATTTTTATTATGATAAAAAAACTTAAATTTTATTTTTAGGCCGGCCAAAGAGACTTTTGCGTTTCTTACTTGAGGATTGGTTATTTCTAGCAGTACTTGGAATAATAATGGCTCTATTGTCGCTTTTTGTCGATTATGCTATCGATAAACTTTTCATTGGTAAACTAATTTTTTTTTAGATTAAAAATTTTCCTTCCCACTCAAAGGATTATTGAGATGTAAACGGCTCATATAGTTTGTCTTGATGCTAATTCTCTGCAAATTAAGTCTAAGTCTGAAGTCTAGTTTCTCTCCAAATATTTTTTATTTTTACGAATAAATCTAAAAAACAACTGAATTGAAAAATCATACCGTATTCATTATAATTATTCTTTGATTGTAATTTAATCTATCAAATTTTGAAGAATTTTTGGAGTTATTAAATTGCAGCTCATCTATTATTAATGAAATACGCGAAAGAGTTAGGTAATAAAATTATTGGCGAACTCCTTCTTCCTTTTACGTCTTGGCTATCATTTTCCACATTACTCCTGACGCTTTCGCTTTTTGGTGTTCATTTTTTTGCACCGCAGGCGATCGGTTGGTTATATTTTATTTTTATCGTAATCGTATTAAGATTCGATTTATTCATATGTCCTTTCGTTGTAAACATAATTATCAGACCTAAAAAAATTTTGTCAATGAGTCATTTACTAGTAAAAGTACCAATAGAATAAAAAATTGCTGATTCCTTTACCGCCATTCCTTTTGTCCTTCCATTACCTTTAATTTATTTTTTTAAAATTTTGCCATTTTTGAAAATTTTATTGATGGAATTATCAGGTTCGGGAGTACCTGAAATGAAGACGATTCTTCAAGGAGTCGCTCTAAATGAATATTTAACTGTCAATACTCTTATTTTCAAAACATTCGGTTTGGCTTTTGCCATAGGCAGTGGAATTCCAATAGGCAAAGAGGTTAATTTAAGAAATCTATATCATAAATAAGTTGTAGATAAAGTACAGATAAAATATTTATCAATAGATCAAAACAGTAAATTAAAAAATTATTGTTATTAAATTATTTATATAATTATTTATATTTATATAATTATTTATTATTAAAATTACTTTAATTTATCGCCTAATATCCATAGGAAAATTATGAAAAATTAATTTTGAACAGTAGTTACTTGAAACTAATTGATAAATGATAATTATTATGAAAACTTCTTATCCTAATATATCCTTATGCCTCACATATAAAAAATAGGCCAAGTTTGATAAAGTTTGATGAAATACCTGCGATTCTATCATGAATGTATATTTTTCAATATCGATGAATCTATGAACGTTTTGCGTTTGCAAAACAAAAGATTTTTGGAATTTCATTATAGCATTTGATTCGATATACATTATTCAAGTTAAAAGTTTTTTCTCCAAAGCGATCCAAATAAATAATGACCAAAAAATTCTAAATAGTTATTAGTATGGCCAATGTGAATCACTGCTATATTTTTAGGGGCCTTTTGTTCATATCGGTTCTATTGTTGCAAGTTTATTGAGTAGGCTGGTACGAAATTTTCAATCAGCCTACGTTAACGAATCGAGGAATTGTGAATTATTGGCTGCAGGATGTGCCGCGGGTGTTGCTAGTACTTTCGGTGCTCCAGTTGGGGGTTGGTTTTTGCTTCATTAATTTTTTTCTATTTCGTATGGTTCTATTTCGTATTTGCAGATGCATGAATGCATGTTCTTAATTGTCTCCGACAAATTACGAAATGATTAAAATACTTCATTTCTAGGATACTTCAAAAATTCTAGGATACTTTAAAAAACCTCAGATATTTTTCTTCATTTTTCTCTATTCATTAGTATAGACCTATTTTTCCTTATTTATCAGCATCATTATCAGTATTTGTGCATACATTTATCGTCATTTATCGTTCTCTTCCCTTTTCATTCCCTTTCATTTATCGTCTTTTAGTAATTTTGTGTCGCTAGTGTCGTTAGTGTTTGTGTATTTATCTCGTTGTAGGTGTATTATTTTCTATTGAAGTTACAACTGCTTATTTTGCTGTGCGTGACTATTGGCGAGGATTTTTTGCTGCAGCATGTGGATCAGCCTTATTTACTCTTCTTCGTTTGACTCGTTCACCAGAAGGTAAAATGATACAAATGGGAGAAATCGAAATGATTTTTCTAGTCTTTGCATGATTTAAATTTTCACGATTATCAATTTGAGCGCTTAAATCATTGAGTATAAATATTTTTCTTTTTTTGCACGGCTGAAATTTGTTTTGTAATTTTATTTGCTTAATGGATTAAGTTTTGTTTTTTGAATTGTTTAAGCCAATAATTGTCGAAATATTTCGATCTTTTCAAATTTTAAACTTCATTGAATGGCAAAGTTTGACTTGATGAATTGTTCGGTTGGGATCAAACGCTGCAAAAATTTTCATAACCATATCTATGGAAATTTAATAATATTTGTGAGAAATTGAAAGACCATACTATTTATGAAAATTACCCACATTCATATCTTTAAATGCTTCAAACTGGGAAGCAAAAAGGCTATCATTTTATCAAAAGTGCCGTTGCCGGGAGTCTATTTCTGGTAGTAGCAAATTTATCATTCAGAAATCTGGGTGAAATCGAATGTTGCTGGTGACTCACTTATACATCGCCAAGTTACTCTTAGGTTGATTAGGAACATGCTAAATAGGCCAATTTTTGCCTGACAATATATAATATGCAAAAAGCATTAGAAAATTTTAAACCAATTTTAAATTATAAAAATGACTGAGAGAAATGATTGAAAAAAATATTTATTATAAAAATATTTATTATTATTTATAAATATTTATTAAAAATATTGTTAGAATAGAAAGCAGCAAAAAAAAGTGAATAAATAAATAGTAACTTTTTAAAATGATTTATAACAATTGAATAAAATTCAGTTTTTGTAATGGCATTTTTCCAAACCACATTTGAAAATCCAGCTTATTATCCAGAAGAACTAATAATCTTCGCAGTGATCGGGTAAGTTCATTTTTTAAACAAAAAATTTTCGAAAAATTTTAAAAAATTGAAAAAAATTTTGTAAAAATTTTGACACATTTTATTCATTGTCCAATACTTCCACTCTTCTACCCCTTCATTATTTTATTTCGTTTAATTAGAATATTTACTAAGGAAGGTGACAGGACGTACTATGACAATTATCGAGGAACCAGCTTACTGGACATCTCGGGAAAAATTTTTGCTTCCCTTCTGCTAAATAGACTCATGGCAACACGAGATAACAGAATGACAAAGCTGGATTCAGACCAGGACGCGGTTGTGCTGACCAGATATTTACGATCTAAGAAGGGTGCTGGAACATCGCTTCAAACACCAAGCACCAGCAACCCATCGTCACTTGCTTCATCGATTTTGCAGAATCTTCGATTCGCTCGATAGAGCAGCCTTCTGAAAAATGATGGAATGTGACGGTGAAGAACATTCGACTCATAAAAGCATCGTATCAGCATACCATTGCACAGGTTTGTGTATATGGGGAACAGGCTCCTTCGAAATAAGAACTGGTATGTATCAGGGATAAGCACTTTCCCCTACAGTATTCAACTATGCGATAGACTGAATAATGGACAGCGCTCATCGGCACTCAAGAGGTATACAAATCAGTCCAGAGCATAGCATCAGGGACCTCGAATATTCTGAACATGTAGTCCTTTTTGCTGACAGCCATAATGAAATGTAAATAATGTTAAACAATGTATCAACAATTGCAGCGGTAATTAGATCGACTCAAAATCAATGTAAATAAAGCGAAAGTATTTTCGTCTTATACACAAGATGCTGATAAAACACCTATTTTTATCAATTTATTCCCGGTAAAGGTATAGTGTCCGATTTTAAATATCTTGGATCGACTCTAATAATAAACGCAAAGGATGAAATTAAAACCCGGATAATGACAGTTAGAGATATGTTTTTCCATTATGAAACTTGAAACCTTTATGGAACCATCGCAAAATCAGCATGAAGACGAAAATCCGAGTCCATATAGCTGTAATTCGCTCGATCTTGTTATATGGCCAATGAGAGTGGAAGATTTCAAAAAGCTTTGACCACTTATGTCTAAAATATCAGCCTTTGACCACTTATGTCTAAAATATCAACCCTTGACCACTTATGTCTAAAATATACTTTACGGATCCATCGAGTGGATAAAATCGCACATGATTGTATTCATCTTCGCTTGAATACCACCTTTTATTAACAACGTTATCACAGAGCATCGCTTTCGCTCACGTTCTACATCGCCCACTACAGGAGTTGACTCATATTTACTCACTTAATTGTTGAACCCTTAATTGTTGTGATGGTTGGCGCCAAAATCGAGGAGAACCAGTCAAGGCCTGGATTGATACAGTCAAGAAAGATTTTGAACATTAGGGAAACCAGCAGTATATGGACTTAGACGTTGGAAAAAGAAAAAAGCATTCTATTACTACTAGCATTGGCATCGGACCGAGTAGCCTGGAGACGTCTTACTCTTGTAGATAGCGGAGCCAGCCTAAGCAGTAATGGTAAGAGGTTTAGAAGAAGATTAGAATATTTTAATCAAAAAAAATATTCCTTTTTTTTCTTCTTTTATCAGTTCTCAATTGGTTAGGCTGGCGGCGCTGATTATAAGGATAAGTCGTTTATCTATTTTACTATCTTTCCATATAATTTAAACTTTAATAACCGACTTGGGTAAAATGGCATAATTGGTTATTACCATCGTTATAGAATCCGGTGAGGGCTTCAATTCCCAGTAAGAGTTTGCTTTTTTAAAATACTGACTGCTTACCTCTATCAAACAAAGCAAACAAAATGGCTTCCTAGTAAAATTGGTCAGCCATTAGAACAGGCCAAACAGAAATTATGAGTATTTTTAGAAAAAAAGAATAGAAAAGCATAGGTTATTTAGTGGAATTTTTTACTTAAACCAAAATTTCATAAATATTGAGAATAAAATTAAAGGAATTTCTTTCTTTTTTATTTATTTAGCATTTTGCCTTAAAATATCTGAAAGACTTGAAATTTAAAAAATTTTTTATAGATTGTGCGAGAAATTCAATTTATGTCCAGTTTCAAACCACGCCACCTTACTTTAGATAATAAAAAATTCTTGACATGATTTTCAATGATTTTTATATTAAAAAATTTGGCAACTTTTCTTCTTTACCTTATTATTTTTTGCTTGACTCTATCCATTTATGCAATAATAATGTTATCACAGAGCGCTGCCTTCGCTGGTTAGGGCGCATTCTCCGTCGTCCACCACAGGAATTGACGCATATTTCGTTATTTGCTAAACCGTGTGACGGTTGGCGTCAAAAGCGAGGTGGGCCAATCAAGACCTGGACTGACACGGTGAGAAAAGATTTTGAACGTATAGGTGGACCAGCAATATATGGACTTAGACGATGGAAAAAGGAATGGCTTCCATTACTTTCGACGATGGCATCAGACCGCCGTTTGGAAGCGTCTTACCTTTGTAGCCGTTGGAGCCATCCTAACCAGTAATGGTGAGAGCTGTTAGAAGAAGAAGAAGACTCTATCCATTTACTATTAAGGCTATTTGCGTAAGAGAAATAAAGCAGAATGCTACACTGTGCAAAAAAAATCTTGAACTAATTTTAAAAATAAGTGCTTAATAAGTTTATAATAAGTTTAATAAAAATATATATTTAGTATATTTTGTGGTATAGCTGGTGCTTTGTTTATATTTTTGCATCGATCATTGGTACTATTTTTGCGAAAAAATTTAATTATGAAAGCAGTATTTCAAAGAAAGTAAGTGAATAGAATTTCGCTCGACTTTTTAAACTTTTTAAATTTTAATAATCCATTATCTTCCATTATTTTTAACTCAAGGAAACTTCAAAGTCTTTTTTTTTGCATACAAATTAAGAAGAATAAACGAGTTTATTTTTTAATTTCGAATAATAATAATAATAATTTATTTTTAGTTTCTTTGTTTATCCTTTCGTTATTTCCATTATATATTTCACATTAACTTGTCCAACAGTATTGGGCCAATATTTGAATGGCCAGGTGAAATTTTTCGTTCATTGCATTGCTCTGAATTATGATTTCAAGAAATATAGTTGTTTTTTTCATAGATTTTTAATTTTTAATTTAATTTTTACTTTTTTAGACTTTCTTCTCACATGCTTTAAAAGATTTTCTTGTTAATTGCTCATGGGTTGCACAAGTAGAACAACGTAATTATTGTGGTAGCCAATTAGTGGCTCGTTGGTCAGCAACTGGCTCAATATTCACACAATTATTAATTTTTTTCATTTTTTTTGTAAGTATTTTTAAGTTGATTTTCTCCTTGAATTTTTATTTACATGAATCGCATAGATTTTCAGTATTTTTAATTTTCGAATGAACGAAAAATTTTTTAGTGAATTTTAGAATTGTTTCGTGTTATTTCTGTTTTCATAATATCGTTTACATTTTAGTATTTTATGGCGATAGCTGCAAGTACCATTCCAGTACCCGGAGGAATTTTTATGCCTTCATTTGTTCTTGGAGCAGGAATAGGTCGATTATTTGGTGAGATAACTTCGCATATTTTTCCAGATGGCATAAGAAATGATGGTCGATTATTGGTACATCCTGGAGTTTATTCTATCGTCGGTACGTTAAAATTTTAAAATTATGCATAACTGCTCGCATTGACGACTTAGTTGTTTTCATTTTCGTGTTTTTAAATTCTATTTTGATTTGCGCATTGACGACTTAGTTGTTTTCATTTTCGTGTTTTTAAATTCTATTTTGATTTGGTACTCTAATTTTTATGTTTTTATTAAAGGTGCAACAGCATTTTGCGGTGCCATCACACATACAATATCAGTTTCAGTTATCGCATTCGAATTAACCGGCCAGCTGCTTCACATTTTACCCGTAATGGTAAGTTTTCTATTTTTTTTATTGCGCAGTCATCTGGTATAAGTGTTTTGAAGCAAATCCAATTTATTTTGTTTTTTCATGGAGATATGCCATATGCAGAATCAATTCATAGAAGAGTAGCGGAGAAGAAAGAAATATATCGACGATTTTACGCGAAAAGGATTCTTTGTCGATTAAAATGAGATGGACGCCGAATACTTAACAATTATTAATTTAAAAAAAAAAGTCAAATGCTAAAAAAAAGTCGTAAAACAGGGAAATAAAAGTTCAAAAATTTAAAAATTTTTGATTTATTCGACAGAATCGGCTTATTTAGCTTGCTGTGATGATTTCCAATACAATTTGCTCATCGTTACAACCATCATTTTTCGATAGTATTATTCGAATCAAACGATTGCCTTATCTTCCTGACATTCCAAAATCCACACCAGAGTTCGATTTTTGATAATTTTTATCAAATTTCATTATTTAAATTTGAATTTCAATTTAAAAAAATATTTTCATAAAAATTTCATAAAAATTCATGAGCTACACTTTTAAGATTTTTTTAAAAATAAAATATAATAAATTCAAAATAAATTAAAAACTATTTAATAATAATGTTAGAAAAAAAAGAATGAAAAATAAGATTTTTTAAGAGTGCATGAGATTCGAGTTGATCAGATAATGATTAAAGAAGTCATATCGCTCAGCGCCAAAACTACATATCTGGAATTACAGCAGTATTTAGCTATACGACCTCGCATACACGCATTACCTCTCGTCGATTCTCCAGGTTTCCTCGAAATTCCCTTGTTTTTTTTTCTAAAAAGAGATTTTGATGAAAGCGATTATCTTTAAAATAAAAAATTTATGCTTAAAAATATTATGAAAATGAAATAAACTTTTTTGAACGTTATTACTTATTCTTGAATGTTGAAAAAGATATTCTACAGAAAGTACTAAAAAATAAACTATAGAGACAAAAATATTATTGGGATCCATAAGCCGCACAAAGCTATTGGCTTTATTAGACGCTCAAATTGGTGACAATGCACGGAAATTGGAAGCCATCAGAAGAGAAAGGATAATACAACAACGACGGCTAGTTTCTATCTAAATAAAAAATAGTAATCGCATAATAAAAATTACGATATGCCACTGGTGTCAGTTGTGTTAATGGCAATGTAATTGTACAATATATGCCACAGAGAGTGAAGAGTGGCTAGGATTCGAATCCTACCGGCAAGCCTCATCGAAGGCGAAAGGAGATAGAATGACCTAACGAGTTATTGAGTTACGAGTTAGAGACGATGCAGACGATGCTGAGATTTAATATCTGGTAAAAGTGAGGGCAATACTGGCGACCCACTTGTACTTCCGTCTCCGAGTAACTCCCTGGCAAAATTTGCCTAATTTGATAAGCTAGAGGAGCGAACCTAACCAGCAATCGCTGTCGCTCTAGAAAAAAAAATTTTCGATAATATGTTTAAATAATTTGCCACTGAATATTTTACCCACTCATTTTGATTGATAAATTTTAGATCGGAAGGAAACAGTCCAGACCCAGAAAAAACAACAGTGGATTTGAGAAAAGCGTTTTTGGAGTCAGACAGATTTAATTTTCATTAATTAATTTCATAATTAACAATCAAATTAGGTGTTCAAGAATATTAACTAAGACGCTATACGTATCACTTATCATTTACTTATCATCTCTAGATTGCTCCACTTATTACTGTTATAATGATTTTTGTGATTTTTTCTTTTTCTGAATTGCTTTAAATGATTCAGTCTTTATTTTGATAAGAATAATCATAATCATATTTAGTACAAACATTTGGTAAATCGAGCTCGATTGCTCGGATCCTTGCCTCTAAGTCATCTCAATCCAAAGTAAATGGACTTACTTAACATTGCTTAAAATTGCTGAAAGTTACTGGGACCTGATATTTGCTAATTGTTATTATTACTTGAAGTTAAGAAAATTAGCTATTGAATTACACAATAGTGGTTCATATCCGGTATTTGGTCAGCTTCTTAGTACCATTCGAGTTTGAAATCTTATTGACTAATCATCAGCAGTAGTCGGACAATTTTTGAATAATTTACGCTCACTGAAAGAATTGCAAAATTTGTGCTCGGTTAAATAAAAGCAACAATTCGCTAGATTCCATTCCATTCATAATTTTTAATGATGCATTTCCACTGAAATAAAATTCCCAATTTTTAAGCTTTTAAAAATTATTTTAGTATAACTCGGCCTATAGATGAGAAAAAAATCTCAAGAAAATTAACGTTTGATGATCGATTATATAAGCCGAATGAAATTTCATCTTCAATACGAAAAAAGCGATCGAATTCGATTGAATCGATTGTAGACGAATTTTTACAAAATCGTAAACCATCGCTGAAACCGTCGCTAAGTGTTAACGATATCGAAGAATATATTGAAGAATGTCGCCGATCAAATCATAAAAAGAAAATGCTTGCTGCTCATATCGATATGTATCATTCAATTGGCAGTATGTTTCCCATTTTTATCCTATTTTTCTCTTTGGGTTTTATGATAATATTTTATATGATAATATTTTTAATATTTTTTTTATATTTAATATATTTATTTAGTGTATTTTATATAATTAATTATTATTTTTATAATTAACATAGTTACTAATATTTTTTATAATAATATTTATATAATATTTTTTAATATAATATTTTTATAATATTTGAGTTTTTGAATTTTATCAATATTTTGAGAATATTGAGAATATTCGTTTAAATTATATTTATTCAAAAAAATTATGCAATTTTTAAGAATTTTAAATCAAAATTTTTTTTCTTTCTTTTTTTTTGAATCAACTAATTCAATTCATTTTAGATGCTATTCGACAAATCACTCATAGCTTACATCTCAGTCCAAAAAAAATATTAGTTTCCAATTCTGACATCGATCTAATAGGTGAAGAGGTAAACAAAGTATAAAATAAATTATTGATAAGTTATTCTTGATATTGATAAAATAATCCTATTCATTCTTATCTTGTAATAATATTGATTTACACCATTTTGGCTTATACCATTAACTTACTGGGAGAATGATTCGTTTTATCATATAGAATCACTTATAAATAGAAATATTGATGCCTACTCAGCAGCAGTTAGAAATATAGAAATATATCGAAACTTTAGCATTATTAAGAACTTAAATCATAGCAATAAGCAATAAGCAAAAGAAAAATGAAAAAGAAAAATATTTTTTTCAAAAAAATCTTAAAATTGACAGTTACAAATTTATAATGAGAAAGAAAATCTATCATTTTCTCAGTGGTTCAAATAATTTCATCGTTTTTGATCTTTTCTATTTACCAAGAGGTGCAAATTTAATTCTATTAACTCACCAAGAGGTGCGAATTATATATCAAAAGATTATTTTAGCGAGAGAAGTGGGAAAATGGTCAACTCTCATATGCTATAGACCTTACAAAAGTTACGATTGATCCGGCACCCTTTCAACTTATCGAAGATACTTCCCTGTATAAAGTCCACTCTTTGTTCTCACTTTTGGGATTAAGGCGAGCATACGTCACTAAATGTGGTGTTTTAGTTGGAGTTGTCACTCTAAAGGAGGTCAGTACGCACTTTCATCACAAGTAGTATTTAGTGGAAAATATTGGTATTATTTATTCGTAATTTGACTAAAACTAGAAAAAAAAAGATAAAAAATGAACTTTAAGGTCAGAAGTGCAATAGAACGAGCTCATACTGGTGAATTGAATGCAGAAACACGCCGAACTGATACTTCGCCAAATTTATCGCGGAGTGGAACGTCGATGAATTTAGGATCGCAAAATATTGACGATTCGGATGATTCGGATTCGTGTCATGCAGATGTTTTACTCGTATCTCCTTGATATTTTTTATTTCGTATAATTAAAGCAACTTATCATGACTCGCAATAATTGCAAAATTAAAAGTTAACTCAGATCGACTTTTCTTGAATTAAAACAGCTTTTATAAAAAATTGTAACATTGAAATTTTAAGTTGGCGGCTTAACGAGATTTACGAAATTTGAGCAGAATTTTAAGGAATAAAATGAAATGATTTTAGGCAAATTTTTGGAGAATATTGGAGAAAAAAAAAGCGGAAAAGAAATTTCGTAAATTCTTCTATAAGAAAATATAATTTTTTAGCCACGTGTAGAGTTAAGTAATGCGAACTCAATGAGAAATGCGAAAGAACTCGAAAGGCGACTTTCAACAATACCTAGTCAAGCCAATTTACCTCGATTCATTGGTTAATATAATTGTTGATATAATCATTGCCGAATCTACTATATCACTCATCCTAACTATTTCAAGCAGGAATTGTTTCAAGCAAAATCAGATAATGAACGAATCTGCCTTGCATATATTGCAGAATTCCCTTAAATCTACGTGGCTCTCTAGTAAAACTATCCCATCCTAATAGTAATCAGTAAACCAAGCTAGAAATTATGAATTATGAATTGACTAATACTAATCAATCAGCCAAGTAATTTCAATATTAATCCTTGCTTCATAAAACTTATCATCATAAATCATATTATCATCATAAATGATAATTATCATCATAAATGATAATTTTTATAACAGAAATTTTATAAAATAATTTAATAATTTATAAAATAATTAAACTATTTAAGTTAGAATTAGGGTAATAAAATATAATTTAATATAAAATAATATAATTAATAGTTAATTTAAGTAATTAACTATTAAATATTAAATTAAAATAATAAAATAATTAAGTTTAAAAAAAATTTAAAAAATAATTTTTTGGTTAAACAAAATTTTATTTAGGAATTTTATTTTAGTTAGAAATCGATCGAATTCGTATAATGTCTCGCAATCTATGATGATAAGCAATTTGCCAAATAGTGTCAATTTACCGCGAAAATCGGTTCCTTATTTTATTGGAAATAGCGAGATTTCAACGCGAAACGCTCAATTTTCTCGAAATATAACGGATATTCTTAAAAGAAGCAATGATTCGAAAATCGGATCAATTCTTCGCCTATCAAAATTTTCCGCTCAACAAAGTGGAAATAATAAAATTTCACTAAAAAATAGCGAATTAGACGAAGGGAAATGTGTTACTACGCTAAGGATAATCGATTCGTATCCGAATATGACTTCTAATAAAAATGTAATTACAATAAATAATAATTTCTATAATAAAGGCCCTTTCACAGTTCAAAATGTCGAAACATTATTTGAATCAAATGAAGAAGTGCCAACTTCTAAAAATTATGCCATAGCGAATTTAAGCGATAATTTTGCAGCAGAAACGGATTTTAATTTAAAAACTCCCAATTTGCCTAACGTTGAAATGACTTTAGTTCAACGATTTTGAATTAGAAAAAAATTCAAATAAACTTTTGAAATAAGTTGATAAATGATAAATTACTGATAAATGATTAGTAGTAGTTTAAATTTAAAGTAATAAAAATGGAAAAGTTTTAAGTTTATGAAAAAAAAATGATATGAAGAATTTGCCAAATAAATTTTTCATTGGAAAATATAATTATTTTCTATTTAATCACCTCAATCTATATGAAATTTTCTTTATTTTTTTAATATATTATCCTATTATGAAGGCTATCTACTTTGTCGTTATCATTTTATCATATGAAATTTTGCTATCACAAATTTTCTCTTTTTTTATTTACTAATTTATTCATTAGAGAATTTGCTAATTTCTCAAATTTTCTTTTAATAGCTTAGAAAAAATGCTTTGTAAAAAATATGTCATTTTTTTTGGATTTTCTTTAGTGGTTTCTTAATCTTTAGCTGAGTATTTCAATGGTATACAGCAATTGAGCATTACCAGAATGAATATAGCCTATAAATAATTATATGTACAGATTTTTTTCGTTGGTTGCTGGTTTATTTAGATAGTTTTCTTCGGATAAAACTTGAGAAAATAGGTAGATTCTTGGCAGCGTTTACCTATTAACGACAACGGCAAATACAATGATGTTTGAGATTTGAGACAAATTTTAGCAACAATGATTTTATTTTTATAAGCAAAAAATTGATATCGCATGCATATTGTTTGAAATAAATTTTCTTCTATGCGATTATTTTGTTTAACTTTAGGTGCCAAAGATAAGCATATAAAAAAATCACCTATCACTCCATCTACTATTTAAGATTGCTAACAAATTCATCCTAGTAGTTTTAATTATTTTTATTTATTTTTATGAACTCTCTTTAGCATTATTATTTTACAAATAATTTGTTAGTTAATTAAATTATTTTAAAAATAATTTTTTTTTAAATTGGAAATTTAGAGTGAATTGGTACTACATTCGTTTTTTTTCTACTATTTAAGTTATAAAGTTCAATTAATTTTATCATTTTTCATTTATATCTATTTTCCATTTTTGTTGTTATTGTTTATTTCGTTTTCTTTTACTTTTTGTTTTTTTATCATATTTTTTCATATAAGTTCGAATAATTTGTTCTTTTCATTATGCAGATTGTCTCGCAACGGAAAACATTGGAACCACTTCTCATTTTTTTTTATCAACAGAATTTATTAAAAAGGCAGTAAGTACCAATTGAAAATTTGAATGAACTTAGGTTAGATTGATGGAAATTCTATAAATTTAAGATAAATAATAAAATTATAAGGGAACGACAAATGATCCATTATAGAAAAAATTAGCAAAACAAGGATTATTAATTGATCAGATAATTGAAGAAAGCACGCAAAAATCGCCAAGCCGTAATTATTTTGAGACTCTCGACAGTTTGTAAATTTTTTATCAATTCCTTCGCTAGATATCCTTGTCATCATCCGATTTTTATATATAACAACTCGTTAAGCAATCGAACTGACGACGCCTGAATTGGATTTGCAACGAAAATATAGCATTCGCTGAACAATTTTCGTTGAATAATAGGATTTGTTCGATAGTGAATTTATGATGTTTATTTGCGTGAAAGATTTTAAAAAATGAAATTTAATATAAAAATGATATTTTATGAAAATCGGCTATCACAAGCCATTTACGAAGAAACTAGTTGCATGTGATGGTGGGTCCTTTTGAATTTGCCGATTCTTCAAATACGCATAAAAAATCCGGTGATATATTTCAGATTTTTGATGTTTTCACTTTAGTTGTGCCAATTCATTCATTTTAAGTGAACACAAACATAATTGAAGCATAAAAAAGTACAGCATTGAGTCTACTGGACCAGGTAAGCTTCTGCAGGCGATCAACTGGCAATAAAAGTACCAATAAGTCGGTAGTATTACTCGATTCCAAAATGAGAGAAGCAATAATCCATTAAGCAATATTATTCATTTAAATTATATTATTAATGACTATAATTATAGTAATTGTAATATTATTAATAATAATTACAATATTAATATAATATCAAAATATTTTAGATTTAAGAAAAATTGTGGATAATATTTGGCTTCGTTAACCGACAGTATATGAAATTCCATAACCAGTTTAAAAATAATAACCAAAAATAATAGGCTTCTTCTTCTAGCAGCTTTTACCATTACAGTTACGCTAGCTCCAACAGCTAAAACAGCAAAACTCGTCCAACCGGCTAGGTTCAATGCTATCGTTGACAATAATAGAAGCCACTCCTTTTTCCATCGTCTAAGTCCATATATTGTTGATCCACCTATACATTCAAATCTTTTCTCACCGTATCAGTCCAGGTCTTGATCGGCCCTTCTCGCTTTTAACCATTACACTGTTTAGCAAATAACGAAATTTGCGTCAACTTCTGTAGTGGACGAGGGAGAACGTGCACTAACCAACGAAGGCGACGCTCTATGATTATTTATGCAAGTGGCATTTGAACGAAGGTAGATGCGATCAAGTGATATCTTATCCGCTCGACGGAACACTAGAATGCACCTTAGATAAGAGTGGTCAAGGCAGATAACTTCTAACTTCTTAATATTACACTATTATTGGCCCTGTTTCGCAGCCATATAACAAGATTGAACGAATCACGGCTATATAGATGCGGACTTTCGTTTTTTTGGTGATTTTATGATGGCTCCACAAAGATTTCGTCAACAGGGAGACTGCATATCAAGCTACCGTAATCTGGGTTAAAATTTCATCCTTTGCCAGGCCGTTTGGTAATAGAGTGGACCAGGTGAAAGATGACAGTGAGAGCAGAGTATAAAGAAAGGAATTTCATCAGCTTCTTGCATATGACGAAAAGGCTTTCTCTTTATTTACATTGATCCTTGCAAGAGTATGCTTTGGCAAACATATCAGCTATATCAGGGGCAACGGATGGCGCTTCATGGTTAAGTTTCGCCTCAAAGAATTTTTTCCATCTTATGAGGCGATTCTTAATACTTTTGATCAGTACGCCATTGTTGTCTTCTACCATTTCACTAATCGTTCCCCGAGTTATAGTTACTGTATGAAGAAGACAGAATAGTATTCTATTGTCGCCTAATCGAGCCGCCGCCTCCATTCTTGAGGTCTTATCATTCCAATAGTGATTTTTGTACCGCTTTACTGCTTTTGTTACAAATCTTTGAAGCACGCGGTAGTCAGTATCACTAGAAATTCGTGCTTTCGCAGAAACACGCTGAAGGCACAATAATCTATTTGTGGCTGAAGATTGTCGTCTTATAATTTTTTTCATTATTTGCATTATTATTTTATAATTTGTATTATTAATAATAAATTATAGTTTAGAAATAGTATTATAATTTTCAACTATCAGTTATTAAATTATTTTTCCTCTATATAATTATTTTAAATAATTATTTTTAATTAATTATTGAAAATTACCTATTTTTTAAAATCTTGTAAGAATTATTGATTATTACTGATTTTGCAGAATTACTGATACTTTTTTGCTATGCATCTCATTAAAATTCAAAGTACAAAAAGGAATTAAATTTAATTATTTTTCTAAGGTTTTTCAAGATTATATCTTAAAATAATTTTATGGACATTTTACTGAAAAATAAAATTTTTTAAACAAAGAAAATTTTGAAAAATTTTGCTAATTGCACTCTAAGGAAATGGCATTTTTAAAATTCCCTAGAAATATTATAATAATTATGCTCTGAGGGTATCATTAACAATTAATTAATTTTATAAATTCCTATTATTAATATGTAAAGCGCAATTATTATATGCATATATTTTAATTGCACTACAATTAAAATTAAAGTTATTAGAGAAATTAGGAGTAAATTGCGATTGCGATATCTATCACTTGTGAAATGATTTCTAAATTAAATCCTCTTTTAAAATAAAATATTTATTTTCTTATTGCGATGTATATTCATCATTCGCAAAATAAGCGATATATCATTCAAGGATCCGCAAAATTAAGAAGGATCCATAAATTTAAGTTTCTTGAATTCGCCTGGTTTCCATGGAAAGCTGCTCTACAATCAAAATAATAGCTCCTTTTCTTCCGCGATTAAAGCATTCAAATAATCAAGAAATATTTTATCATTTTTATCATCTTTATTTTATGAATTAATACACTTAAAATTGTATTCATTTTCATTCGATCCAAGTTGATCTTCAAGTAGTTGCGGTTTTCGGAAAATATTATTATTGCACTGTTATTGAAACCAGGTTTTGTGCTAATTAAACTGGGTGGTTCAGTGGGTTTTATCATGAACTGCTTTCATTTTAGTTATTTGCAATATTAATTTTTTGAATAAAAAGATTTCGGTGAATTTCAGTGCGGAAATGTTTTTCTTTAATAATTCAAATCTCTATACTTCTTCATCACAAATTTTAACATATATGGAAATTCTAATGAATTTTTCGTCATATTTCTTCGTTATTGCTTTTTGTTTCGCATTAATTAAAGAGAAGGTTCCGTGTATTTTTACAACTAATAATTAATATATAATAAATAATTAATAAATAATAATATAATCAATGTGAATTTTTTATTTTAGAAGCATTTAGAAGTATTTTTGGATTGTTCCGGCAGCTTAATAGAAAAGGCAGATTTTGCTATAGAGTTGATTCCTTAACAGTAAGATTAGAAGATTAGAAGCGGAATCACCAACACTATCTGCATTTTTGCATGAGAGAAATGAGACTCTTACAAGGAATAGAACGTTAATAAAATGGCCCTTCGAAACGAAAGGAACAACCCAATTGTGCCATTTTATCCACAAAATATTATGAGAATTATAGAAATGAAAATAACTAAATAAAAAGGATTTTTTTTGATAATAGAAAATAATTTTGCTTTTGCCACCAATTTGTTATTTCGAATGAAAGAAAATTGAAAAATGGAATTTCTAAAATTTAAAAAAATGAAATGGAGGTAATTTGCCCGGAATTGTATGTCTTGCCATAATTCCGAATTTTACCATATACCTATAAAACTAAAAAATTATTTATCTAAATTGTTGGAAAATATTTATATGGCAAAAATTATGCTAAGAAAAAAATATAAAAAATGAATTTGAAAATAATAAAAAATTCTCTTTTAGCCATTTAATCTAAATTTAACGATTCTTATGTTCAATACAGCCTTTACATATTTCTTGTACCATATTTCACGATTGATGCGAGTAATTCCCGAATTATTAATCGGTAATGGAGTTCCAACAGTGTATTCTCATTTTACTAGAAGTTTTAGCAGTATAGGTAAATTTCTAATATTTGTTTTTTTTTAGGTACCATTTTTGGTTGAACACTTTTTGCTAGTTTCTTAATAAATTTTGCGCCAACTCACTCTGTAAAATATAAATATGTAGATGAGTCGCCAAAAATATCAGCGTTTTTAATCTATCTATTTTCTATCAAGCATCATATCACAGTGCTAACAACGTTCGGTATAACAACAATTAGCTTGCTGAACCGTTTTAACCCATATTTTCTTTTTTTAAACAATATTCCATCAAAGAGTTTTTAAAAGTTTTGAATTGGTTTTTTAAATTAGTAATATTTTTATTTAATTATCACCTTGTTAATCATAAATAATTTTATCTATCGCAATTTTTTGGTTATCATTTTAAAAAATGGATAAATTTAAATTATTGTGTAAGGAAGAAATGAAATCAAATGAAAATGCAATTCGACAATGAATTTCAATTGCCATGGATAAATATAAATAAGAAAGATTTGAGGATTATATGAGGGAAATTCCTAATTTTTAAATTTAAATTCCAGTTTTTAAACGATCTATAAATATTTAATAAGCCATAACTATAAAAGTATGCATTAGAAATTTAGTTAGATATATTTTAGCAAAATATGCGGCAAGTCTTAATATTGCGACGATTTCTATGGAACGAATCATTTCAACGATTATTTATAGTTATAAATGCGAGAACTGCTTTAATATGCAACTACCAATTCAAGCTTTGATACTCATCGCGTTACAAGTGAATTTTTTTCTTGATAACTAATAGATAATTTGCCAGAATACTCAAAGTTTACTGAGCTTCCCTTAAATTTTCTCAATGTGTTAACAAAAAAAATGATAAACGGTTAAGGCTATAGCCAGTGATAAATGATAATCTTTCTTAGAGTATTAATACTTAGAGTAAGATTCATAGTTCAGTGCTTTTTTCTTGAGGGCTATAAACGATATTATTAAAAATCAAATGTAACTGGTGCCAGGAACTCATCTGCGTTTATGTTCCCATGTGACTCTTTGGCTAGGAAGGCTCATCTTAGTAGTTAATGGAGCCAAATTGACCCAGAGATGGTGCCCATTGTTGGAAAAACAACAAATTCATTTGTGATTTCCATAAATAAATCCTCTTTTAATGATTTGTATGAGATTGAATGCACAGAAAATTTGCAAAGACAATCTCAGCATAATCATAATTAATCGCAATTCTTCATCTAATTTCATATATATATAAAATCTTTAATGAAAAAAAAAAAATAATAAATTTCAGTGGATTATTGCTTTAATAATTTTTTACATGATTTTTAACTTATCATATTCGTTTGCTGTACCATATTTCATTTTCTTGCCAATGTATTTCATCGGTGCTGTGGCGAGTTTTCATTAAAAATTTATAAAAATTTTCGTACAAAATATTTGACAATAAATATATATAAAAAATAAAAATATATAACTAAATATAAATATAAAAATGTATATAGTACTGCTAGGAAGAGGTAAAATAATGCGCAGAGTCCTCAATCTCCTAGGCCTCTGGTAAAGAAATCGAGTTGGGAATAATATCCTTACCACTCAAAGAGGATGAAAAAGGAATTAGCAATAAAAATCTATAATTAATTAACGCCTCTCAATGGAAATCCTAAAATATTTCATTTTCGATGGTATATTTGGATAAACTGAGAATTTGTTTGGATAATTTGAGAAAAATTTTGTATTTAGAGAATGGTTTTTGATATTTAATTTTAAAAAAAACTTTGGATTTTCTTAGTTTAAGTCATAAGTTCATAGATAATCCGAGAAATTTCATTTCTATCGTTGGCTGATAGTTTATCAGAACAATCAGCGATTAAACCGTATAATTATAATTATAATAATCATGTATTCAATCAATAAAGAATCGTTATTTTATTATCTAAACATATTGTTTGATTATTGATTATATTTTTACATGGAAATTTATATAAAATTTTTTTTTCCAACAGATTTTTGCAATGTTACCGAAAATTGCTCGAAAAATAAATGAAAAGAAACGTCTCAAACAATTTGAGAATTCGAATCATTCGTTAAAAGATCGCTATTATTGTTTACAAAATATTAGATATGCGAAAATTCTTAATCCAATTATACTGGCAAGTTCATTATTAACGGCAATCTGGATAATCCTTGGAATTACGCGATTTACACTGCTTCACCATAATTGGCATTTGGAACTTGTTGCGAGATCGGTGCAATACATGATTTATTCTATTCAGGTGATTCAAATTCATACATTCGTAAAATAATTGAAATTAGATTAAATTAATCGGTTTTATATTATACCATTTTATAAGCTATTATTTATGGATTTCGTTTCTATTACCCTGATGTGGGAGAGAAAGAGAGAGAGAGGGGGGGGGGGGGGGGAGAGGGAGAAGAATGGTTCTGTGGGTTTTTGCTTAATTCAGAGCGCTGATGCTGTGGTTTTACTCCAAAAATCCGAGTAATGCTGGCGACTCACTACCAAGTGACAATATGTTTGTCTTGTACGATAGACCAGTGGAGTGAGTCTAACCAGTAATTATGAAGCATCTTAAAAAAAAGTTGCCCTGATGGAGTATAATGAGCTTTGAGAGATCTAAAAAGGGATACTTAGGTGTAAAGTTAGTAAAGTCGATTCATCGAGTATATCCACTGGGCGTAAATCTGTCTATAGATATATACAATAATTGTCCCTAGGGCAATTCATATAGTGGTTTGCTAAATCGATAGTACAGTATCGATAGCAACCAATTGATCACGTTAACCAATATTACCAATTACAATCTGCATAATCGATCTTCTGCAAATATCCAACGATGTTGCTGGTACTACTATAATTGCAAGATTATAGCGCGAAATCCACGAAGTTTTAACAGCATTAGTTTTAACAGATGTGAAAAAGTGAAAATGCGCTTAAAAATATTTTTAGATTGACATCGTATCGATATTATTGCTGCGAAAATGTAAAACATGTCGAGCGATTTTCTCGAAATTCTCATGCAAAAAGGCTGAATCGGATAAACAGCTTCAAAACAGCAATATGATCGTGCCACTTGAACGACAAGGCGACATCTATTTTTTGGGTTATGCATGGTCGTGAAAAGATTTTGCGTTGATCTAGATAATGAACAAAAGTCTCATCTAAAGCAGTAGCCGTCAATTTTTTCCATGTTCAATTTCAATGTCAATTCCTTGGATAACGCCTTAAAATTTCATAAATCATCAATGCATCAGAAATATTTTGATGTTTAAAATTTTAAAGTATTTTTGAAAAATTTTAAAAATAAAAAAAATTAAATTTTTGAAAAATGATCCAATGATCCAAATAATTTACCACCATTCAAAAAAAAAAAATATTTAATTCGATATATGATTTCCACACATTCTTTATAGTCACCATGGACCTCAGCTTGCAGGAGCTAATTTGATGAGTATTAGTCGAAAGTATAATATCTAAAATATACGCAATTTTCAATAATTTGCAGGACTGAATTGAATAATTATAGCCCTTTTATAAGTACCAACAATTACAAATAATGGAATAAATGATCTATGATGAAGTAGTTTGGTAGTTAATTCTAGAAAAAATGAATATCTCTTCAAAAGGCCTTTAAGGTATTGACTTTTGGTATTTATGAAGCATTAATGATTTTGCATGGTTATTTTGTCATCCATTAGTCTAATCAATTATCATTTGTTGTTGTCATTAGCAAATGAGAAGGAGACAATGCAATTCGATTCAACGAAAAGTTTCTCAGTGGATTGAAATCTAGTTTTCATATATTTTTTAATTTCACTGTTAATCTTTTTTATCAGTCATCGTATATTTAATATTTTATATTTATTAGTCATTGTGACGTTTTATTTAATGTTTCAAGCATTTTCATTAGAAACATTCATTAGATATGATATATTTCTTTTTCTGAAAGCAAATAACATAAATTCCTTTTTTAAGAATGCCATATCTCATTTAATCGAAATTGAGATGATAATTGAGAGTAAATGATAAGGATCCACATGTAATCAATGCACCTCTATCTGATTTTCAATGATGAAAGGATCTTATCTTTTGTCTTATTTATCTTATTTACCTTATCATTTACTTATTTATCTATCGTTACTTTTGATATTTATTTTTTCTTTTTTGTGTGGATTTATCAGTTTTTATAGTGTTTTTTTCATATATGTTTGTTATTCTAACATAAGCATAAGGCGTTATTCTCTACTTGGTTCCTTTTGTGATTAAATAAAAAATACTGAGCCAATTGAAAAATTTTACTTTTTTTATGTCTGGCTTTTGATCCGTGAATTTTTGTTTCAAGCAAAAATTCTCGCTACTTTTTGTTGTAAGGCGATTTTCCTCTCGATGATATGCTTATTCAAATTTGACGTGGAAAATCGTGACAATTCATGACTCTAAAGTGGAACAACGAGACAATTTGCTAAAAATGGCGCAATAATAATTCAAGTCTCCTGAACTATTACTCTTTCAATTAAGCTTGAAGCCAATGCGTGAAATCAACAAAAATATCAAAACAAT